CTGGCGAACATAGTCTGCAGCGCGTTCCTGCATATTTCTTTTTTTTTTTTTAGCAACCCTCCGTGACCCGATTCTCGAGTTCATCCGAATTTTTCTCGCATACCAATAGATTTGCACGAAGAATTTTGCATTCTCGCGAAGTCGCGTAATTGGTCAACATTTGAAAGTCCTACACGAAACTGCCAATTTCGCACGCGAAGAGTTGATCGTATGAACTCCAGGAATTCAGTTTATAACCGCTGAGTGTTACCGCGATCTCGGGAGGGATTCCGCAAAAGTATTCCGCAAGTTTTAGCCGCGCCAGGTGTGGCCGCGTCTCCGGATCGCGCGATTCATCTCGGCGAGATCGGTCGGCCCGGGCGAACCTGGAGGTAACGAAGGCGAGGAGGGGCTACAGGTAAGCCGATGAGGGCACGCGGCTGCATAAGCATCCGAGGGTCTGCTCCTGGACCACCGAAAGCCTCTCTCGAAATCTCGTTGCGATTAAATCCTATTAACGATGCCCACGCATCCCACGTGGCCGTAACGAGGTGAAAGCCAGCCGTTCCCTCGGGCGACACTCTCGCGTTTACTCCCATCTCAATGTCTCCTCATTACGCGGGATAAATAAAAACCTTGCGCGGAAAATCGCACTTTTTATTCCCCCGCACCCTTGAGTTGTCACGCCTTATCGGGCTCGGGGGGGAAGGAGGGGGCGAGTCGGCAACGCGAAACCTCGAATACCCTGATAAAAATCGACGTAAATTTCCACGCATTCGTACACACCTAATAAATGAGGTTTCACGCGGAAGAACGTTAAGTGGAGGAATTAGAAATTAGAAAATGCGTAAATGCACGTAACATGGTTGGCCCTATTAGCGCACTTTTACTTGAATTAAGTGGCGACATTACGTTATGATGCTCGTTAACTTAGATGTCGAATGCGATATCACGGAGACAGGGTCGGTTGGCTGCAATTTATTGTCCCATCAAAATAATCAATGGTTGAGTATGCAAATTTACGTGGGCATTTTTATCAGTGGTAGGCCTCTTTCCAGGTTTTATTTCCATCCGCTCAGGGTTGCCTCTATGCGTTTACGGGCCATTGCGAATGCAAAGCGATTTCAAGTCGCGTGCGCTTATCGTCGCGACGGCGCGTCGTTCAGTCCCGGGATCATGCACCAGGGGACGTCTCCCCGTCGACGCGTGCCCAAAGCGTCGAATAGCGTATGATCGGGACAGGCCGACGACCCACCCTCTGGGGGGTCGAAACTCCCCCTCGGAGGTTCCCGAAAAGGGCGAGCGTTCTCCAGATTTTCCGGGGTGCCCTTTGAAAAGTCGGGATCTAGTCGTCGCGACGCGCCTTTCGCCGTCCACCAGGGGGGAGAGGGGACCTCCTCTCCGGGGGCAGTAAACCCCGGGTCGGTCGACGTCTTTTACGACGCACGGGGTTAAATGATCTGTCACTTTCTCCGGCGGCATCCCTCGGGGGGTGGCGTCGTAAAAATATTATGGAAGTCGAGTTCGCGCCGATCGGGATTCATGGATCGCGGCTCGTCGATGCGTTTTCCGCACCCCCGAGGTGGGAGCTCCGCGATTTTCATCGCACCCCCCTCAACCCCCCGACGACTCGTCTACGGTGTAGATTCGATTTTTACCCTTAAGAGGGGCAGTCTCGAGAAAATCCCTCCATTCGAAAATCACCGACGCGATTCCATGATTCCGCGGACGACTTGGGATCGCGGCCAGGATCGCGGAAATTCCTTCGATCTTCCGGAGACCATCCTCGACGAGGTGGCCGAACGGCTTCGGAAGTTGTCGCCCCTCTTCTGATTTCCGAGGCGAACCTCCCGCCTTGGTCGCGCGGTTTCCGCGCGGCCGTTCGCACGTAAGAGAGACGAGCCGGGCGTTTTATGCGAACGGTTGACAGGACGGAAATTTTACGGCTTCCGGAGCGCCGGCCCTCGTAAAAGAGCGTCGCCGGAATCGCTTCCTTCGTCCCGACTCGGAGCCCCTTTCCGTCTCTTCGCGTCGACTTATCTATTCGCACGTCGGTGTTGCAAAAAGTCAACTCCGCGAATGTCGCCCGTCTCGGTATCGACGCGTTTTGAATTTCGCGCGAATTTTGTATTTACTCGTCTTACGAGTTTGGTTATTGGCGCGTTTCGGTATTTCCGCGCTTTGAGGACACCCTTTTTCGGGTTCCCGATTGCACTCGCCGCTGCAACGAGTGCAGTCCGGTTACCTAGCCGTGGATTCGGTTTCATCCGACAACGGTATCGTTTCTACAAAGCCACCCCGCGGCCACTCGCAGCCCCCGCAACTCGATGCCGCACCTCGTCGCCTGTGAAATCCGCGATTCCGCAACGCGCGATATCCGAATCGCGTCGATGCCGCGTTGCAAACGCGGCTTGAACGAGACGAAGATCCATGGAAATTTGCATACACCCTTTTCACGCACTTCGTAAACGGGCTCTCATCGTTAATAAACTGGAATAAATCGGATGCAACGTTCATTCGGAATTATGACAAATTTTACTCCAGTCAAATGATTGATTCTTGAAATTAAGAAATTATTTCTTTGGTTCAGTGGACCTTTTTTTTTTTTCTCGGGGTAGAACTTCTCTCTTGTCTCTCTTTCGCGTACTTGGGCGCACGAAACGTTACCCACGCATTCCGCTCTCTGGAGGGTCGGAAATCGCGTTCTCCGGTGTCCCGGGTATGCGTTCTCCAGCCGGGACCAGGGTGCGTCGGATTACTCTTAATCTTCGTCCCTTCTCAAAACAGAGTAGTTGCAACAAACGAAACCAAGAACGAGCCTCGACAATGTTATCGGCGGCTCGCTCGAGCGGTGGTCCACGTTCCGAGGGGTCTTATCGTCACCGGAGAACCCGCGAGCGTTTCCCCTCTGCGGCCTAGCCGGCTCGTTTCCGGTCCGTTCCGTTCCGTTGTTGCGGACTTCCAAGAAACGGCCAGGCCGACATAGTCAAAATAACGCCGTCCATTATCGCCGGTCGAGCTCGACTCGGGGCCCTGCGAAATAGGAAATCCGTTTCCAGCGGATCGGCGGTTGCCTCGAGGTCCAGGTGAGAGGAACCCTCGTGCACGACTCTCTCATGGACCTCGGCTGAGGTTCTCGTTCGCCTTAATTAAATCGCCCTCTCCAACAGGTGAATAGGCACTCATACGCGTTGCAGGGCGTTCGTTAATTCCGCCTAACGGCGAGCCGTTTATGAGCTCCGCACTTTTCGAGCGATTCGATCCTTCCTTTGTCGTCCCTTGATCTGGACGGTCGCGTCGTCGACTTTGCGCGACCGGGACGCGCCGTCATCGGGTTTGGCAGCTGTCTCTCCGCGACGCGTCTTTTGCCAGGCCGGGTCGGTTCTCCGCGACGGAGACGTCGGGCGCGTCTCCGTTCCGGCTGTCGGGAGCCCAAGAATACCGAAGTCACCGTCGCGACGCCGTCGGGGAATTTATAACGCGCGAGGATCGAGTTCGAGATGCGCGACTCGGTCGCAAGATGCGGCGACGAAACCGCCCGCGGATCCGCGTCCACCAGGGGAGTCGACGCGGATTGCCCCCGGGGTTGTCGCGTTATCCGGGGAATCTCCCGATTCCGCGTTGAACCGCCCATTGCAGCGACCTCCAGGGTGCTCCCGATCGCGCGACCCTGACCTACGGCAGAAGGCCTCAGGGTGCCGGAAGCCGGTGCTCCTCTCTCGGATCGGCCCCCGAGTCGATTCGGAGCCCTCCATCGACCGGTTGCCCACAGGTGGCCGATGGGCTCGCGATTTACGAGGAGTCGAGCCGTGGAGAGAGAGAGAACTGGTCCGCTGATTACATATATGTGCGGCCCGGTAAAACGCTGTTTCTACGCCAGGCCGTGTAATCACGTCATATCGCGCGTGCCGTTTAAGTAATAAAGGCGAGATTACACCGATCGAGTCCAGGCTCGAGTCTCGTAAATCGGGTCCCGGGGCTCGGCGCGTCAGCGACGGTTTCCTGCGATTCCGCGTGTCGGGATACCTTATCCTCGGGATCCGGGGAAATGGAGCCTACCACTCCGTCCTGGAATAGGAAACAGGAGGTGTCGAGGATTCTCCCCGGCGTCGAGGGGTCGGCTGCGCGCGCCGCCGGCGACAGGTGCGCATCCAAGATGGCGGCCTCGGCGGCCATCTTGGCCGGATAGGCAGGAGGCGCACCGTGAGGATGATTTTCCATTTTGCCGGACTCGGTCGACCATCCCCCCGTTACTCGCGCCTATATGACGCAACGGACAAAATGGCGCCCGAGGAGACTGCGATGCGTGGCAGGACCGAACCTTCGACTTCTCTCTTCCTCGACCAACCGAGCCTTTCCCTCCCTCTCGACTCTCGTTGTCCCTTTCTCTCTCCCTCTATATATCTTTCACTCCCGCCGCGCGCACCAGCGAGGGACGACCGGCGTCGCGGCGGCGGCGCTCTCCACCTGCTCCGCCGGGCGTCGTTTCCGCTTAGAAAAAGCGCTTTCGAGCCGCGTGGGCGGACCCCGGCGTCGGCCGACCGACGCCATTGGCTAAAGCTATGTCCAATATATCATGACGCGTTACGCCCGGCTCGCTACTGTCCTAAGACGCGACGCGACGCGCCGCGACGCCGCGCCAGGACACTCGCCTCATCCCATGCCACTCCGCGCCGTACGGTCCCTCTTGCGGCCGCAATTCCTGATGCGGTCCATCCGTCGCGGCCTACGGATACCAGGGATTTTAATGCTCGATATCATGAGAAAATCAGCTGATAATCGCCGGAAATCACCGGGACGAATTATTAAATATTAAAATCATAGATCGTTAACGCGTGTATTTGAGAACGGGTCGAAGTCAGTCGTATTGCAGTGTTCCCATCCCGAGGAAAGAAAAAATTTATTGAACCGCGGAAATAGATTTTTAATTCAAAGAATAATTATCCTGGCTCTAATAAGTTGTCACGACTCCGAGGAAACGTCGCATCCTATTTATTCGATCTTAATTATTTTTTTTACAGTGCTTTACGTGTTCGAAAAACTGGAGAGCATGACGGACTTGCTTCAGCTCACCTTGGAGCTGTTAAATAAATTCGAGTACACGTGGGACACCATTCCACTGATGTATCTGATCCTGAAGAGCGTGATGGGCGACAGGGAGAAGGCCTCGCGGCTGATACGCGAAGGTAAATATCATTTTCCGTTTTCTAGACACTTTTCCTGGTCTTCTCTTGAACCCACGAACCTGTGTACAATGTCGCTATGTTTCTCCCTCAGCGACCGAGGAGTTAATTCCGCCTTTCGCTGCAGTATTGCCTGTCTTTATTGTCCTAGTTTGTAAGATTGTTCTATCTGACAATGCCAATTATCCGTATATCGGAGATTCGTTCTACGGTCGACTCGGTACGTCGACGGATTATCTGAAAACGCGACGTCTCGTCAGAATTGTTCGGCCAGTCTGAAAAATTGGATTCGCATATTGACTGATGATAAAATAGAGGTTCACGGTAAAATCTGATTCCCCGCGTTGGAATCTCTGGGGAATTCGGGCTTGCATAGATTTTTCGAAAGTACCTCGATGCACACGGACGATCGATTTTCCGAGCTGAATTACGCCAAGATTCGAAGATCATCATCCCCATCGCTCCAAGACGTCGATGACAGTTAATCGAAGAACCACCCCGAAGAGTCGAAGAACCACCTCCGAAAAGTTGGAAAGAGTTCTACGTTAGCTATCTCCCCGTGTGATAAGAAATTCCCACGAAACGTGGGCTTCGAGCCAACCTTTTGCTTCGACCTCGTGCACTCGCGGGGACGTGATCGATCGAATAACGTGGCCGGGAGTCGTGAAGCCACGAAGATGCCCGAGGAAATCGACCACGAAGAGCTCTCGAATCGACCACGAAGACGTCTCGGAAGAGCTTCACCTCAAGAGGAACGTCGTCACGGTCGAGTCGCCGCCGTTCGTCTTCGGCGCCAAGGTAGGAAACACGAGTCGATCGGGATCTCTCGATCATCCCTCCCAGAAGGATATCGGGTTCATTACAGAGGTCTATACCATCAACATTGACGAAAGATATCTCCTCTTCGACCTATGTAGAGAAAGGCGCGGCACCGACGAGGTGTGTGTCGGACTCGTCGCTTTCGCGTCGGACGTCGACGCGTCGCCTTGGGCACTTGGAGATATCCATGTTTGCACGTCGCATTCCTCTCCCTGCATCGCGTCGATGCGTCTCGGTGTCACGAGGACTGACGGTCATCCGTCAGTCGGGACAAATCGAAGGAATTAAGCCTCGGGCTCCCCGCGTCGACGTTTCACGCCCGTCAGCGGCGCGGCGCCCTTGCTTAAACGGCGAAAAAAGTGGCGCCTCCCTTCTGACCATTACCGCAAAGTGACGAGGTGCCGACGCGTAAGCGACCGTGAAAAGGATGAAACGCAATTTGTTAGAGGTAGCCACCTACTTGGCTACCGTGTGCACGGGGTGCTCATTATAAATCGCTTAAGCCCGCCGCGCTTCCTTCGACTTGACGCCATCCGCGTCCCCTCGACGAACCGGACGGGCGTTTTGGCACTCCCGGCACAGTCGCTCGTTAAACGATCGTTTTCGTCGTTTTAACAGATCGAGGGTAATCGAGACTTATCGACTCGCATGGAACCGCTTTAAGGAAGTAGCTTTGGTAGTTTCGGTAATCGACTCGCGCCCCGGAAATCCCTACGCGAGGTTTTTCAGTCATCGTTTGCGCGAATAGGAAGTCAGTGGGGTTGCTTCACTTGGCGCGTTTAGGGAACGGATAAGAGGATTCGGATTGTGGGCAGATCTGTGGGTGGACGTCCACGTAGGTGGAGTAGACGGGGAAAAGTCCTCCCTTGGGATAATCGTCGATTCCGAGGTAAAATGCGCTGGGCGTGCTCGGTGCCAACTGGTCTCGGGAGAGCGGAGATAGGCGTCTCCACTTTATCGAGAGACTCGCCAATTACCGTCCAGTGGACTCGGGTGAATGGTCATTTCACGAAGAGACGAGTGGCTCGGTGAGTGCCTCGGCGGAAAGGAGCGATCGCCTTCGTCGGGGACTAAATAGTCACAAATACGCGGTTTCCCTTAAAAGACCTACGACAAGTTCTCCGAGCTGAGCGCGTAACTCTATAGGGGTCTGACTATCCGAACGCCATTTCCAGCACGCGCTTTTCCACCTGCACGGTGAAACGAAAAATTAATAGAATAACTCCATAGAAATATTTCCCAGGTTAAATGATTTTTTTTTTTCCTCGGCGTGCCTAATATCCCATTGAATTCGCGTGTATATTTCCGTTTAAAGTCTCCGGGAAATCGAAACGCGTCTTATCGGTCGGTTTGCGAGGGGAAAACTCTTGGGAAAATTTTCATATCGAGGAGTGCCAGCGAAGAGGTGTTGGATGCAAATCCCGAGGACTGGCTCGCGGCCAGGTCGGCTTTCTTAAATGCGATGCGATACGTGTTCGTTACGGGACGGTCGTGGGATAAAGAAGCTCGAGGGCGCGAGCAGGACGGAGCGAGACGGACACGCTGGGGAGAAAAGGAGGGAAATGCGAGACCAGTTTCCAAAGTGGTCGCAGCAGGTGAACGATTAACGACCGCCGGCGTGTTACACTGTAACTAATTGAGCGCACGTAGGACGCGTAAGTGCGTATCCATGGGCACGCATCGGCGCGAGTTTCGCTCACCGGGGAGAAGGCATTCGGCGTGGTCGGATAAATTCATCTTTCAGGGTGGAAAACGCGACCCGGTCGTGACAATGTTGAAAAATCGTAACGCACCGAACGGGAGGGATGATTGCAACGAAAGGCACGGATCGAAATTCCGAAGATCGTTCCATAATTGGGATTTGGTAGGTAAGGAATAAATAACGAGCATGATTTTAGGGATTACTCCGCGGTACTAATTGACGTTGCGAGCTGGCCGAGTGCGTTGGGAAGAGTTAATTTCGACGCGTCGGGACTTCGGGGAAACGCGGCCTCCTCGTGCATACGGCTCACTCTCTTATTTCCGCAAAAAGTTTCCCAAAAAGGACGGAGGCTTGGGCGAAAGGGTCCAGGAACGTACCTCGAAGGCCTGGGGAGACTCCCGTTTCCGAAGCGAACGTTCCCACGTTATTTTCGCCCCGCGAATGACACGCGAGCGGACCCCTAGGATCGATTTTGTATCCTTCGAGTGATTCTCAAGCCGCACTCCCGAGACGGTAAATGGCACCTTGGCACCTGTCGTTATTACCGGCCTCCCCGCAAAAAAAAAAAAAAACGGGCTTTCGAGAGAAATGCTCCCTGTGTCCGGCAAAACGGCTCGAAAGGTTTCTAGTACAAAGTAGGAGGCCACTTTTTGCGCGGCTCTTGTTCGCGTCAAACCCCGCATTGTGGGATGAAATCTTTAAAGGTGCACTTGTAGCTCTCCAGGATGAATTTTAATGACGATAGGAATTATCTCGGTGTCAGGGAAATTATCTCCTGCGGCTCGGTCGATCCGGCGACGTGCATGGTGCATATAAGGTTGCGTGGCTCCCGGGAATCCGCAACGTCCCTTTCGCAAAAAAGTACAAACGGTCCCAAATTGCTCGTCCGGGTCGGGTAACGAGGACGCGTAGTTGCGTGGCTCGGACGTGAAGAACTCCCTGCATAGAGAGGATCGTCCTCTTTTTCCAGTTTCCGCAGAACGGCGGAGTCTTCGGAGAAGGAGAGCGTGGGGTAGGTCGAGGGCCCGCGGCGGTTTCATAATTGCTCGAAATTACTTAATACGCAAAGTATCGGCTAGTCGAGGACTATCTCCTGCCTTCCTTAATATCCGCGACTCACGAATCCGGGGGTTCTCATTTCCCGCAAATTTCGCCGTACTCCGGTTTCGACCACGCGGAATTTCGCTGGAGTCTCCCTACTCGGAAGTGCTCTTTTACGAGTAACGATAAAATAATAATAATAAAAAAAAAAAACGATTACAAGAATTTATGGAACCACGCCGAAGGTATCCTAAATGTCAAAAAGGAAAAGAAATTGAGATAGATCTTGGGCCATCGTTTAGATTTTTTTTTTTCGAAAAATGAGGATGCCGTCCGCTTGGCCGGATGCAAGCGGAGACGCGGCGGTGATTTACGAGTGCAAGGCCGAGAAAGGGTTGCACGTAGGTAACCGGCAGAACAGATGCGAAAAGAGAGTGTACGTATGCCGCCTAATTGGCCGACACGCGTACCTTCGTGCGGAATGGTGCACGGATGCACCGATGCGTGGTACATGGATGCACGGATGCACCGTACACGGCTATCTCGAGAGCCGTACTTCCCAGACGCGGAATCCGCGGTTCCCCGCAGATTATCGCCTCGAAGGCGGATTGGCATCGACAGGAAAAAACCGGGGGAAAAGGGGCGGCCGGAATTGCGGGGATTACGCGCGGATAAACGAAAGAACTGCCCCGACTCGTTGGAACTGGGAACGCGCGTGGCGTCGGGCCGTTCGGTCGTACCTTCAAAGAGGACGGAGGGGAAAAAAATAGAAAGAAAAAAAGAAGCGACTAGTCAACGGAGGAAGTTAACAGCATTAAAAGCAGAAACGGGGAGATGTAAGATACATAGAGAAACGCCGTGTTCTATGCGAATTATTACGGTCGAGCTGGCACTGAAAATAGGAATCGCGAGGCGGTCACCTGCGCACCGAAGAACCGGGAAACGGATTACATTTCCATTTTTTTTCTCCTCGCGGGTTTAAGGTAGGCCTTAATTCCTATTAACCAGCTAGAACGTGCAAGATGTAACGTAGGATTTAAAGGGGGAAAGAGGTCTCTTAGACGGGCTGAAAGTAGAGTTGAAATTCCGACTCGGTCGGGTCTTCCCTTCTCCGGGTCCGTTCTCCAAAATGGCGGCGGCCGATCGAAGAGGCGCGTTAATCAAACGTCAGGCCGAGCTGGTCGGCGCGTAATAATTAGGTGCTCGGGATCCTGCGCTTCGTTCTGCTTCGGGGCCGCGACGGGGAAATAACGTTCCCGGGATTTGTTCTCCTCGCGGCACGAGATATTCAACCGAGGCCGACGTTTATGCACGAAGGCGCGAGAGGCAAGACGGCCGACGCGGCGACCGCTATCCGCTTATTATTATCGTAAGTCGGCGTTGTTCTTGCGCGATTATCGCTATGATTGACCGTCGGAATACCGGGTAAGAAGCGTGCTCC